AAAATATTCAACTCCTTGTCAGTAAGCAAGGGAGATGATGAGTGTTGTGGGCTTTCATCTTTTCCTTACGAGTTCTTATGATTCACATCCTGTCCCAGTTGCAGTGTTGGTCTGCATTAACGATCCTGAATGCCAAGATAGAACCATTATTTTTAAACTTATTTTTCCTGGAACCTGTTTGCTGCTTTGAGCATATTCATTGTATATACGTTTTTTGCTGCGGAAGTTCTAACAGTATGATTTCATCTTGACGGATGCCTTTGACTTCAGAGTATAAATAGAAAAATAGAGATAAGTGACAAGGATTGATTAGCAATCCTCCTTCTAAGCAAAACAGTATCTACCTAGATAAATCACCAGTTTCAAAAGCCTTAAGAATGTGTGTTAAAGAATTAAAGGTAGTGTGGCATATGTGTGTGTTTAATTGATAGGGACATTTTCTAGAAGAACTGTAAGAACACAAAGATTCCATCTGGTCTGTTCTGCTGTCCTTCAAGTTTTATTTAAAATAGGCTTATAGGTTTTACTAAACTATTACAAAGTTTATTCACAACCCTTTCCCCCTTTTTAAGGGAATTTTTTTTAAGTAACAAGAAACAGACCAATATTTTATTGTTGTTTCAAGTCTCTCTCTCAATACATGTGTGTGTGTGTGTGTGTGTGTGTGTATACTTGCTTTGTTATTATTAGACTTTAATTGTAGGGTTGAAAGAGCTCAGGGATTCACCTGACTCATTTTCTGGCACTTTTAAGCCATCACAGACAGATGAAAAAATATTTTAGTGTTTTCTAGCACTTGCTCTGTGTCCTGCAGTGTTTGAAGTGGTTGATGTAAGTTAACTCATTTAGCCCTGACATCCACCCAAAGGGATGGGCACAGTTATTATTCCCGTGTGCCATATAAGGAAACGGAAATGCGGAGCAGTTCAGCATCTTGCCCTGTAAGGACTGGATCATGAACTTGAACCCAGACACCAGACTGTGTACTTTTGATCATTACGTTACCACCTGCCTCTTCTCTCTTTCTTACTAGATTTTCCAATTTTAAGGGTTAATTTTTACTCTCACTTTCCTTTACCTAACATGGTTTTCTCATTCTGTAATGCTCCTTTTCAGTTTGTTTTCCTTTTTCTGAGCACTTCTCCAACCTTCTGTCAGTCACTGCTGTTCCATTCTCTCATCTTCCTCCTCAGTGATATTCTGTAACCCTCAAACCATTTCTGAATTCTTAGGTTATATATCAGGACTAGAAGCTGGCACTTTAATAATGGCTTGACCAGTTCTGAGTAAGTTAATATTAATAGTACAATTACATCATGCTTTCTACACATACCCTCTATTCCTGTGTACCACATCATTTTTTCTGCTGCAATTTGCAAAAACACATTTTTCTTGCCTTAGGTTGTGCTATGAATGATGCCATTTTATGCATTCATGATCACACCTCAGATTTCCCAAGACCTTTGATTGTGGACTGTAATCCACAGATATATTCACCTCTTTGTGGACATTGTATAGCATCCCTTCGGGTTATTTATGAAAGTTTCTAACTTTCATGTATCCTAGAATCTTCTAGCTCTTGAGACAAGCTGCTATTAATATGTCAAATGTGTAAATTCCCATTCTGCACATAATTGTCCGGCAGCTGTGTGATTCAGTTTGGTCGATGGATACTTTGTACCAGCTGTTTGCATGTTATCCTTCTGACTGAATTGGAGGGAGGAGAGTAAAGCGCAGAACCATCTTTTCCCCATCCCCCAGCTCTCCTCACCCCATCTACCAACTCCCTCTCCACTGGGTCACACCTAGTGGACTTTCTACCCCAATGAAGATGCGTTTCTGCAGATGCAGATGTGTTTTCTGCTTCCTAAACCAAAGAAAAGCATTATATGATGACTAAGTACCACATCGTGTTGAGTGATTGCTGCTGTATCTTATGGCCAAGAAGAATTTCACAGGGTTATAATTTGTAAATGCAGCGTTTCCCCCCATCCTTACCTTCCCATGGTAATAGTTAATATTTAGAGTCTGAGGTGTCTGGGGATGGTGATTAACAGTTCCCTCACATATGTTTTCTTGACTGCTGCTGTGCTGGGTTCTTTGTTTCTATCTTGGGTGTTGCCAGCCTGGATTGCCTCCCCCTAGAGGTCCTGACCTCCGTTCAGGAGTCCCTAGACTCAGGACTCCTTCTGCCACTTCACTTCCTTTAGAGCAAGATCTTGACTACATTATCTCTTCACCCTTCTTTGAAAGTGATGCACATGCTTACTGAAATTGTCCATGATATGTCCAGTTAGTGCACCCATTTAGCATAATAAAGGTATATTTAAGCCCTGTTACCTGGCGTGTTTATGTTCCTGTGAGCGACTGCCCAGACCATGGGGACTTTGGCCAGTGGATTGGAGATAAGGGAGTGCTTTTCCTACCAGTTGGGAGCTTCGATGTTCTCATGGCATCCTGTTCTCACCTGTGTACATCATGACAACATTGTAATTTAGGTTTCCCTGTAGGCTTCCCCCACCTGACTGAAAATTTCAAAGACTGTGAGCACAGAGTTCTGGGCTTGGCTTGGTGAGGTTCCACAGCACTAACCTTTGTTTTCCCTGCCTCGTTCCAAATGTCATTCAAGATGGTAGCATTAGTACCAATCCAAGGAAACTCTTGGTTTTAATAGACTTTTAGAAATTGGCCAAGACACGTATGTACTATACACCTGTATGTTTGAAAAACAATGTAATTTCTCAGCAGTGGACTTGGAACCAGCTTTTTGGAAAACAACTACCTTTGGTCCAATTTCATCACCTCTGCACCTTTGCCCCTGTGATGTCCTCCAGGAATGCCTTTCTCCTGTGGTGCTCCCACCTACCAAATTGTTCTTCACTCTCAAAGCCAGCCAAGAGTCTTCCCCCACTCCTCTTCCTTCCAGAGCTCACCCCTCTCTTTCACTGGGCTTCAGTACACTTTTATTATGCCAAATACAGTTAGCTCTGATTATTTAAAATTACCGAGTCTATCCTCCTGTGTTAGACTAGAGCTTCTTGAAGCCAAGGCCCATATCTATTCACTTTGCATTTCTACTCATATTACGGTGCTGAGTAAAGTGGAGTTGGATGAGATTCCTTTATAATCACAGCACTGGAGGAGGGGGAAGGATCATCTGGTGAAGAGAATAGGGACCCAAGTGGAGAAAGGGAACCGGGCAGGTCGTTGTTTGGATGACTTTTGGGAGGCTGAGATGAGACGGAAGATGAGTTTGGGGCAGGCCAAAGGAAACAACGCCAGGCCAGTCTGGGTGGTGGCAGGCATCTTAGCAGTCACGGACTGAGGTGTAAGCAGAGGAGTAGGGGCTATGGGAGTCGTAGATGGAGCCCTGGCAGTGGCAGTTCTACATGGGAGGCAAGATAAGGGGTGCAGTGTTGAGAGAAGGGGAAGGACCTTGGAGATGACGGCCATATTGGAAGCACAGCCATAGCTGGTGCCTGGCAGAGGGTGGCGGCGGGCAGTGGGGAAAGGTGGTGAGGAAGGTCAGGGAGGGGATTGCTGTGACCGTAGCAACTTTGGGTGGCCAGGAGTTAGGGGCAGTTGTACATACTTTGCCGACAAAGGTCCGTCTAGTCAAAGCTGTGGTTTTTCCCGTAGTCATGTATGGATGTGAGAGTTGGACTATAAAGAAAACTGAGCACCGAAGAATTGATGCTTTTGAACTGTGGTGTTGGAGAAGACTCTTGAGAGTCCCTTGGACTGTAAGGAGATCCACCCAGTCCATCCTAAAGGAGATCAGTCCTGAATNTGCAGCTCCTTTTTCCTGGAGATGTGAACCCTGTGGTGAGGGAGGGAGTACTCAGGGGCTTCTCCCTGTTTTCCCTCTAAATCATCGGCACTCCCCCCTTCCGTCAGCAGGCAACTGCCACTTCTTTGGAATAGATGGGGGAGGTGGGCTTGGTAAAGTGCAGGAAGGTCCCGTGGCATGACATCAGCTTGCCTTGGGTTTCCCGCCATGGCAGATGTCAATCCTGTGGGCTTCCCAGGTAGCTCAACGGAAAAGAATCCGCCTGCCCAACCAGAGATGCACATTCAAGCCCGGGTCGGGACGATCCCCTGGAGTAGCAAATGGCAACCCACTCCAGTTTTCTTGCCTGGAAATTTCCACTGACAGAAGAGCCTGGCAGACTACAGTCCACGGAGCCGCAAAGAGTCAGACACAGCTGATCATGCAGGCATGGCGCAGGTCACAGGCTCTCCAGTGGGGACAGTCTCCCTCCTTCGTCTCTGTGGCTGTCTCGCCTGTATTTTCTCTGACATGGGGAATACACCTCCTTTTCAGCAAACCTTAGTTTGCTGCTGAGATTTCCACACCCACCCTCTGCTCAACTCACTCAGCTGCTGGGCTGTGCTAAGTCCTGTCCAATTCAGTGACTCAGTGGTCTGTGGCCCACCAGGCTCCTCTGTCCCTGGAATTTTCCAGACTAGAATCCTGGAGCGGGTGCCATTTCCTCCCCCAGGGGATTTTCCCAACCCAGGGATGGAACCCGTGTCAGGCAGCTCTCATTCACTGTCAGCTCATGTTGACTTGGCAGCACTTATGGGATCTCTGGGTGTAAATATTCTTCTAGTGCCTGAGAGTGAGGTGGGAGCTGGACACGCCTGGGGGTAAATGCCGCGCAGATGGTGGCTGAAGTGTGGAGAGTGGACATGCTAGTCCAGCAGAGACAGGGAACCCCACAGAAACCCACATTCCAGAAGCAGGAGAACAAGGAACTGGCCAAGAGGGTGGAAGCCTCTTCCACAGTGTTGTTTTTACAGAGGGGCAGACCATACAGGAGTCAGCTGAGTATTACGTGTATTATTGTTTCCATCTTTTACCCACATTAAAGGCATGCATTTTAAGTTTGATTGTGAAAGGACTCTAAACTATCTTCTTCCTGTTTTGAAAATTGATGTTGATTTTACTTTAGAATTTCTAATTTATTGAAGATAAGTTTTAACTTTTTTGTTTCCAGTTGTGTATGAACACAGATCAAGATTGGAGAAATCCTTGCAAAAGGAAAGACTTGAACATAAGAAAGCAAAGGAAGGTAAATAAATAATGTAATTTGTGTTTGACATTTCTTTTGCTCTTCTTTGAAGTATCATGTACTTGCTTTACTGTTTTTTTGCTTAGAAATTTTTCAAATCACCCAAAGTCAGTCAAGCAGCATGCTATACATTGTGCAACAAAATAATTCCTGCTCAAGATTGGATTTAGAATTTTTCATTTAGTTTGTGCCTCTTTGAGGTCATTCATATATTAGTTATATGTATTAGTTCAGAAATAGCACACAGTTTTTCATTTGAATATTGTATATGTTATTAACATCTGTCAACAGACATCTGGGAAAGTAATACCATGCAGTCCAGAATATGACAAGCTTTATGTATACATATATATATGTATATATGTGTTTATAGCATAATCAATTTCAGTCTCATTGCATGATATCTTTTAAGTTATAGACCTGTTTTTCCTCTTGTGCTAAAGACTTTATTGGCATAGCTGATTGGTTTGTTTTAAAAAATTAACATTTAGCACAGGTGTTAAATAAAAATCAATGCTGTTGATTTTTACCAGAATTTTTCTATAAAACATGGACTTGGTATAGCTTGTGGTTTGGAGTTACCTGCATTCTTATTTTTATTTATTCATCTTTTTGGTTAAACATTAGATTGAAGCGGTGTTTTGTTATTACTTTGGTACGGGGTAGAAGGAGGGAGAACAGAGGAGGACAGTGTGAACTGGGAAGTTTTACTGAGAAGTGTTAAGATTATTAAAATGCTTTGATGGGATTGGGATTTTCCTGGTCTTCAGATGCAGAGTGATTTTGTAGAGCCACCTAGTGGATAATAAAGCCTTAAGCGCGTTAAAGATGGTTTCCTTGGCTTGAGGTCCTGCGTGACTTTAGTGCGCCATCTAGTGGCTGGCAGTGAATCATCTCTGTCCTCAGGTGCCTGCCTGGTTCTGTTTTTTCCTCCTTCACTTCAAGGAGAGTTCGTCACCAAGCCCACACTCTAAATGCACTTTTAGTCAGTTGGCTATAGTGTGTCTTTTGTTGATACAAGATTCACAACTTTAAGGTATGGAGGAAAACTTTTAAAGCATTAAAAGACAAAATAAAGTATGTCATCAAATAGATTTTTTAGGTCTGAGTAAAATGTGCCCTTGTGTTTTTAGATGTCTAAAAATGCCACAATGAATTAACTTATACTAATAGAGTTAATTAATGTAATTATATTCTCCATTTTCTATTTTCTAGATTTTCTAGTTTATAAATTAGAAGCACAAGAAACACTGAATAAGGGAAGGGTAAGTTGTTTTTTTTTCTCCCTTAATTTATTTCACAAAACTTGACCGAGGGGGAAATAAAGTTTCCAAACATTTTACTCTGTTGATCATTAGGACTGAAATACATCTCCCTCCATCCTTTCCTTCCTTCCTTCCCAAAAAAATTCTGAGAGGAAGACCTTAAAAATTGTTCCTTTAAAACCTACCTTCCTTTGCTTATCACATTATTGGCGATAGTGATAAATTGAAAATATCCTTAATATTCCACAATAAAGAGATTCATTTGTTTATTCATATAGAATGTGATATTTAGTTTGATTTGTCTTTGTACCATGTTACTGTCACTTGCAGAGACATTACTGTGTAATGTCTAACACAATACCTGGCCTAGAGTTCACATGTTCAAATGTTCAAAAATGTCTGTAAAATGAATGGATAAATAAATGATATTGACATTTTAAAAAAGTTTTTCAGTCCAAATTAACTAGGGGAAAACACTTTTTTCTCTTACTGTAAGAAAGAGAAAGCATTGAAGAAAGCATTGGTGTTGTGGGGTATTAAAACTGAGAAGAGTCGGTTCCTTGAATAGCTAGGAGGTTACTGGCTTTTCACTCTTACTTGCATTTTTAAGACCTAGTCAAAATTGTGTGTGTTCTGTTGTGCATTTTGTGATGTAATATATTACAAATTAAAATAAAGTGGTAAAGTGATAAAAATGAAGTGTTAAAGCAAAAATGCGGTCCATTTTAGAAGTTGCAAGAACATGAAAGAAAGAAAGAGATGAAGCTGTGCTTATCCTGCCGATGGTGGAAAGTAAGAGGCAGGCGTGTAAGAGAGAAAACACAGCAGCCTGGGGAGAGGAAAGTGGCAGGTGCGGTTTGTACACCGACCCCGCTGGGGCTGCCCCGGACTGGACCTGTGTGAGCTCCGAGAGTGAAGATGCTCCACCGGTCCATGAGAACCCCCTGCTGGAGCCCGGAGTTCAGCTGGACGCTCCGGCTCAGGGTCCTGTGCTGGCTCTGCCCCTAAAGGAGACGTTTGCCCTAGGCCTGTTCCCTTAGCCTTTCTCTTTCTCTCTGTGAGCTGGCACTGTAGTAGAGAATCTGCCTGCAATACAGGAGATGCAAGAGACCTGGATTCAGTCCCTGGGTCGGGAAGATCTCCTGGAGGAAGAAATGGCAACCCACTCCAGTGTTGTTGCCTGAAAAATTCCACGGACCGAGGAGCCTGGAGGGCTGTAGTTACTGGGATCACAGAGTCAGACGTGACTGAGGATACACACACACACACACATACACACACACACACACACACAATGTGTGTAGAAGTTCTTACCGGTGGAAACTCAAGGAAGAAAAGTGCCTTTTCTCTCCCTTTCTGGAACCCATTCTAAGCTTGTGAGGCTGGTCTCTGCTGGTTTCTCTCCTGTTCTTGGAGCACAAGGTACCAACCATATGCGATGCTGTGTCTCAGGACAAGCTCTTCTGTGCCTCTGGCCTCAGTTCTTCTTCTGAATGTGAGAGTGGAAGTAAATCACCTCCAAGGGCCCTTTCAAACTGCTGTTTTATAATTCCATGCCCTGTTTTTTCATCATTAAAGTCTTGCGAACTTGGAGGAATATAAAACTTCATTTCTGCTATGAAGTAAAGACAGGACCTCAGAAGCATCCCAGATCCAGCTTAGAATTCATTTTTACTTACGTGAACAAGTGAAAACCTTTCATTAAGAGCTTTAAGTTCTGTTTAACAAAAGAGCCAAATGTGTTATCTTTTTGTTAATTATTTGCTTTTCAATTTACAGCAAGATTCTAATAGCAGGTACAGTGCATTGAATGTCCAACATCAGATGCTGAAGGTGAGTAATTTAGAGGTGTTCTTCATGAATGAATGAAGGGGTTAACTAAGTAACTTATGTGATTAAGGAAAGTTTACAGAAAATTGATTTGTACCGTGATATGGTATAATAAGGTCATTTTTGGCTAAAGGTGATATATAATTATAATGCTCCATTATGTTTATCACCTGATTACAAAGGACATATTTAATTCATTATTCATTTTCTTATAAATCAGGGTCTCTGGTCACTTAATTTTTGAGTTTGTTCTTTATCCTTTAAGGATTTTTGTTTGTTTTTGATCTAATTTCTCAGAGTGGTTTTTTTTGAATTTTTTCTTTTTTTATCTTAGACACAGTGGAGACAGTAGAAGTATTAGAATGCTGTCTTCCTGTTACTAATGTGTCATAAGTGGTCCACCTACCACAGGAGCACAATTTATATTTAAAGATATTCCTTCCTTGGTTTTTGGATAAAACTCATTGTTGTGTGTCAGGAAGACTGAAGAAAAGAGAGAAATGCACTGTTTGTGTCAGGGTGGAAGAGATGAGCAGCGGCTGTTATGCCAGCCACACAGTGGGAAATCAATGCCGTTGTCTCCAACGCCCAGTGCCCAGCTTTCTGTTTGATGTTGTCTTTCCTCCTGTATCAGTAGGGTGTATGCCTTTTATTGAAACCGGAATCTTTACTGTTATCAGGAAAGCAATACGTGAATTAAAGCAGACCACCCATTCATGTTAAGCATTTGGAGACTATAGAATTTATCTAGATTGTGATTATAGTATTATAATCTAGAATAGTGTAAGTAATAATCATTTCTAGAAATAATAGATTTTTTTTTTTACTTCCCCCAAAGGGAAAAAAAGTCTTTTTTTCCCTCTTCTTTAAACTGGGTTACCAGAAAGGCTGATAATCAAAGAAGGGAAATAAAAAACATTGCTGGGAAAACGTCAGATTGAAAGGCAGTCTAGAGGCTCCATGGAGGGGTAATTTTTCCTTTAGCTTTACCTCGTTTCCACAGTAACTTGAGTCCCTGGGAATTTCCCCAGATCCCTCCCTTTTCCATCACTCTTGTAAATGTCCAACTTCTTGTTGTTCACATTAATGTTAAAAATTAAGGAGAAAATTATTTTTGGCCACAATCCCAAACTATTCATTTGAAATGGAAAGGAAATGGAAGAGCGCTGCACAAATTTAAAGCAGTCAGGAAAACAAAGCCTACTTCATCTGTGCTGACTTTCTTACAAGAGAAAGGCTGTGCAATCGAGAGAGAGACTGATTTAGAGAATGTGTTAGTGCAAATTCTCTGTGCCCAATGCACAGTGAGGCCAAACAAACCAAACCATCTGAGTTTGGACAGAGCAAGGTTTATTGCAGAGCCATGCAAGAGATTGGTAGCTCATGCCCTAAAAAAGCCCCAAGCTCCCCCAAGGGTTTGGCAAAGTGAGGGAGGTGGGTTGCAGGGTCTGTGATCAGCTTGTGCACAAGTGTCTGATTGGTTGGCGGTGAGGTAGCAGGGTAGTGTCACGGGAGTTAGCATTATCAGTCCTTAGGCTCCAGGAGGCCTGAGGCTGTATGCCCATGGTCATCAGGCAGTTAACATCTTCCATTGGGAAGGTGGGGGGATGGTTTCACATCTACAAAACACTTCAGGAAATGGGCATCAAATACTGTATCTAGGTACTTCAGAGAGGAGCTAAATCAAAGGATACAGGGTAGGCCTGTCCCAGGAAAGCCCCGTAGGGTCCTGCTCAGGTACAAATGTGTATCCCTGCTCAAGTTTTCATCTTTGCAGAGTCAACACGAGGAGCTAAAGAAGCAACACAGCGACTTGGAAGAGGAGCACCGCCGACAAGGAGAAGACTTCAGTAGGACATTTAATGACCACAAGCAGAGATACCTGCAGCTGCAGCAGGAGAAAGAACAAGAGCTTTCTAAGCTAAAAGGTATTTGGAAACCTAATGAGCCAGTGTGCATGGAAATGAGTGCTCACTTTAATGTTTGAATGGAACAATAGACTTTTGTTTGCTTGGTGATTGATTTACATTACATGTGGTATTTTATCAGCTACTTCTTTATGATATTTCACACTGATCTCCGGGTGTGTTTAGGGAAACAGTAAAGCATACTTAGTGTTTCTCAATGGGACATATTGGCCTTGTTGGGCAAGACAGTTCTTTTTGTGCATTGTCAGACATTTAGTATCTCTGACCCCACCCGCAGAATACCCCTAGCACTCCCCAGTCACAGGGATAGGTTTCCAGATCTCCACTGGGGCACAAAGACTCTGCTGATCACTAATAGTCACTTTAAGAAGCTCAGGCTCTGAAGTCTGACTGCCCTGGTGAATCAATGACTAGTTTTATGACCATTGGCAAGTTGCAGAAATCACCACAGATTTAATTGTCCTCATCTGTAAAAGTAGGATATTCATAAAAAGTAGTAACTTTATAGAGTTGGTATGAGGATTAAATTATGCAAAGCACCTAATACAGTTACTGTTATATGGTAAACCTTCAATATATGCTAACCACCATAAATACCAGCATCAAGTATTTTCATAGTAATATGAAATGAAATACATCACTTCTGAGTACATATGAGTTTTGAAAAAGGGCAACAGCATAGCCTACAATCACCTATTCAGGTCCTGAATAAGTTTGAAGTATGAGATTTGGTTTAAAAAGGTACATGGTGCTTACATAAACAAAGATGAAATCACAGTAAGGTCTTCTATAATCTAGTTAATTGTACTGTGCCAAACAATTGCCTGGTTTTATGCAAAATGTCGTCATAGAGATCTGCTGTGTGATGGGTCCTTTGGCTTTCTGCACTTTTCTTTCGCTATGCTTTGTCTCAGTATTCCAAAATAATAGGTTAATAATGGTATTCCAAAATAATAGGAATTCATTGTAAGTATTTTCTAGGTGCCTGACCTTGGCATACTTCACATTATTTAGTTCATTTAATTTTAGTGAGAGGCTTAAACGGCATGTTATCTTATGTCTACTCTATATTTCCACCTTTCTTTGAAACTCAGTCCATGTGTAGTAAAATTTTATCAAGAAATCAGAACCATGGAAAATAGGAGGGCACTTGTATGTGAGTTCTGCATACTTGGACAGTTCAAGCCTGATGGCTGGTCTGAGCATCCTGAGATCCAGAACAAAAGGAGAAGTACAGTCAGTTCTGGGACTCTTGTCATCAGAAGAGAGAATCTCCCAATATCTTGGAGGGTGAGAGACAGACAGAGACAGAAACACGGAGAGTGAGAGAGAGCAGTGTTTTTGGTACCAGTTAATATTTGGAAGGCGTCACTCATAGAAATTTTAAACAAGTTAATATGACAGTGCCTTTGATGACACTTGATAAGTGATTTTCACATCAGCAGTTTTGTTTGATCATGGTCCCTGACAGTAAATTGTGATAGACGAGGGTCTGTCTTGGCAAACCATGACGTGTGTAGTCCGAGTGATCCTTGGTAGATGAATGTGACACGAGGAGGGAGTTTAGAATTTAGAATGTGGATAATGATGAGTGGACACCGTGTAAGCTTAGATGATTCCTCTCATCATCATGGTTATAATAAGAGCTGACACTCAACAAGCGTTGACCATGTGTCAGTACTGGGTGAAACTCTTCCTGCAGGTATCTTATTTAAGCCTCATAACAACCTGGCAGGTAGGCATTATACATAACCCAGTTCAACAAATGAAGACATTGAGGCCTGCAAAAGTTAAGTAACTTAGGGTCACACAGCAGAGGCCCAGGAGACGCTGTCCTTAAGGTTATAAACTGAATTCCTTTAAAAGGCAGCCCTGTATTTCAGCTGCATGTGTGTGTGAGTGGACTGTAGGCCTATCCAGCCTGGGACACACTTGGGGTCCTCTTGGATTGCCACTGGTGTCCCGTTTTGACGTTTGAGAAAATCTGCTGATACAGATAGGTGGACAACCTAACCACTAGCAACATTCTCACCTTCTTCTTGATCTCTTCCCAAACGTAGTCATAAAACCAGTGCCCAGGGATCAAGCAGGGACTCTTAACAGAGTGAAAGCCGGCAAAGAATATGAGGCGGCGTGGCGACCGGCAGTTTCCTGCGGTGCAGAGAGCCACGCTGGAGACAGTAAAGTTCTGCCTGCAGGGAGTGGCTGCCGCTCTGGGGACAGTTTGCCCAGCGCCATGCAGGTCCACATCTGCTGCTCTCCCAGCATCATTCTAAAGCAGCACCCCTTTCACTGTCGACCATATCTCCCATTGGAAAATGAATCATATGATCACCCAGCTGCCATTTAACTTCTCCTGAGAATTGGCCTGATGTTGCCAGAATGTTATGAGACCCAGCTTCTTGATTTTTACTTGGTGACAACTCTTTGAATGTGGAAGACACTGAATGTCGGCTAACACTTGCAGGGGCCAAAAAAAAAGGTCTGTGTGTTGGCCCAGGGGCTACCAGTTCATAACAAATAATGCCCGGATACAGAAAATGTGGGAAAATTACCAAGAGGCTGTTCCCTGAATTGTAGGGCTTGTGGCTGGGGAGGTTTTAAGACTTCACTGTGATCACTGCAGTCTCACATTGTAACTGTGGACAGAATTGTCCAGTAGCTATTGGAGGAAGAATTTAGACCAGTCAAGAACCCAACTGTGGGAGACAGAAAATACATTTAGAATTTTTGAGCAGATGGAGTGTCTGTCTCTTATTTGTTTCTTGAGTTGCTTTTGTAACTGAAATCCCTTGGAGAACTGTGGAAATTACTCATGGCTATGAGAGATGCAGTTAGTGCTTTTTGATAGCTTTGTTTTTAATTTCTGGTGAGACTAAAATCTCAGATGACCCCTACCCATTATATTTTATTCCTAAGGGTTTGCTTATTAACATAAATATTTCATTTTTAGCTCAGGAGTAATTAAAAACCCTTAACTTCTATGCCAGATAGCTTGTTTAAGCATATTTAAACCACTGAGCCATATTGTGTTGGGTTGTCCAACTGAATCTGTGCCACGTCCCAAAATGGTGCTAAGTTTTATTGATTTGGAGTATTGTACTGTCAAAGTTCAAAACGATCTTTGAAAAAGTTATATGAGGCTTTAGATAGGAAAATGATAGAATCAAGAGCCTGAAAGGCCCAGGGTTTTATGCATGATTTTCCTTTTTCTAAAATAGAAACTGTGTACAATCTGAGAGAAGAGAACAGACAGCTGAGGAGAGCGCATCAGGACATGCACACACAGCTGCAAGATGTCAAGGTAAAAAAAAAGCAACAACAACCTAAAAACCCAGCATTTGATTGTTTTGTGTTTGCCTGCTTTACTTTGTAGCGACTTTAAAAGTCATTCACTACTTGACCTGCTTTACAGTCCACACTGTTATTTTGGGCTTTTGCAGAAAGTGAACCTGCCCATTACTTCTTGTGCATTGTAAGCTAAAGAATGATCTGGAAATCTCAGCATTTGCATTAGCACTGGAATGATTCTTTTGCTAAATGGTTGAGTCTTAATAAGCTTTTTATTTGTAACGGTTTATTAATAACTAAAGGTATTTTTCTTCCTGTTTTGATTACCTTGTAAGTGATTATGATTTTTGGGTAGCACATTTTAGATTGTGGATTACCACCTTAACCATGGTCTTCCCACTGCAAAGATTTTTGAACTTATCAAATGCTACACAGCAACAAGCCAGCAAGTGAGCAACGTTTGGGTGGCCATACCACTATCTGCCCAAGAGGGGTTTGTCCCAGGATGTCAAAACTCAACGTGTAAACTTCTTTTTTGTGTAGCAACAGCATAAGAATTTACTCTCCGAGCATGAGCAACTTGTAGTGACTCTGGAAGACCACAAGAGTGCGCTAGCTGCTGCACAGGTTAGGAGGGTAGCCTCCTCTCCGGGTTCCTAAGTCTGCCTAACATTTCTGATTCCTCTGTGCATGCAGTCTCTTAAAGGCCAGTCTTCACTGGGCTCCTTAGGACAGAGCTTTCCTGATCCTGAAGATCATGCATGCTTTCAAAACTCAATCAAGAGAATATCAAGTAAAGCTTTGATCTTTTCTTTTTCCCTGCACTGGCAGTGTGGTTCATAGGACTTTTTCTCCCCTCCACCAACTCCTACATGCAGCAGTCTAATACTTGTCTAAGTCAGAGAATTCATCCCACATTTATGGTTTTTTTGCCACTATATAGATCTATGTAGACTTGCTATACTATCTACAGGATTTTATAGGCTAATTACCTAAATAAATCATTATAAACTATATTTTACTCCTCCTTCCGTTGCTCTCAGCTTTTCGCCTGCATACACTCCTTTTGGGCCTAGGCTTATGTGTTGTTAGGTCAAATTACAGGAAATAAGAAATCTCAGGTAAATAGAGAAGGAAAACATAGTTGTAAGTTTCATTTGTTCAAAGCCTACAACAGTCCTCGCACAAGGCAGGCCCTCCATAGATAATGTATTAAATGAACAAATGCAGGTGTTAGAGAGCTTAGTGAAGTAATGTCACACTGACTGTCTTACAGCTTCATCATTGAAGCAAATAGGAATGGCTAGTTTAGTCACTGTATATTCTGAATCACTGGCCTTCACTTTTCTTCTCTTGGAAGAATTAAAATAAAAGAGCAAAGGAAAACCAACTATTTGCTCTTACCAGGAGACTGTGCATTATTTTTTGTCTTTATAAAATTTTTAAAAGAATTATATGCCAGGCCCTGATCTGTTTCAGAAACTGTAACATCTGGGTCTGTGGGACCCCTTTTCAAGGCAGTCATTGATTATCCCCCTACAAAACTGTAGCTGTATGGTAATTTTTTACATGTTTATCAATTAAATTTGCTTTAGAGGATATTATTACATTCAAAATCTTCTTTATAAAATTTCTGCCAAGCTTTGTTACATGAGGCTACTTTTCATACTAAAAAATATGACAGACCAATTTGAATACTCTAGGTATTACAATAACCATAAATATTAAATTAAGCAGGGACTTGAAAATTCAGAAAAATGTGAGTAAAGTAGTTCACTTAATGACCAAAACCAAATTCTGTTGTAAGCTCACTGGGGAATATTACTTGCAAGATTTTGTAATAGAAAACAAATTTTTAAATTTAATATACATGTATTTTTTTATTTCTTTGAATATCTTTTTGGTTTTTTTGGATGGGGTCGTCAGGTTTCTCCTGTTCTTTTACTCCCCAGTTGAAACTTTCCCCAGATCTGCTTAGAAAACAACTGCTATTTCAGGCATATACGTTTCTCATGTAAATCATCTTATGAGATTCTGTCTTGACAATCTGATTTTTAAATGTAATTAACGGGGGAGACAGCAGGAACTGAGTGGAATTTGAGAGCTTAGAATTTGTCAGGGATTATCATAATAACTTTATATATAGAATTTTATTTAATATTCACAACCTACTGAGTTATATAATAACTGTATATTTTTTATAACTAAATAAAATAAGGTCAAAAGGAGTAGAGAAGCTGGCCCAATATCAGTGCCCAGAACCACCTTGAAGCTGGGATTTGTGGAGATTCCCCGTGTTACAGTTATGTGGGCCTTGCCCCACACCTACTGAATACTGATTTCTAGGGTGGGCATCTAGGAGCCTGCATTTTTAACATGGTCATTCCATAATTTAACATGATTATTCATGCATGCTCATATTTGAGGACCATAGTATTTCTCCCTTCGAAGGTTATATACGTAGGAGGAGGAGAAAGAAGAAAGGGTAGAATATTTGTCTTATTAAAAGCATCACTGTGTGGATGTCATTTTTTTTCCTTTGACCTCCAAAGTTGGTTTGCAAATGTTTTGATAGGTTTCTGGGTAACGGCCACTGTTAGCCATATGGCACACATTTGTACAAATGATAAAGAAGCACGCCCCTGAGACAGATCCAGCAGGCAGACTTCTCTGCGTGAATTAGAAAAAGGCAGGGAGCGGGTGGGAGAATATTGTGCGGGTGTACAACTGTGGCCGAGGGAGCCAGACTCACCAGCCTCCTCTCTCTGCTCTGCTGGGCACAGTGAGGGGGGCGCCCTGCCTGGGAAGCTTGTTCAGAAGAGATTTCTGGGTTCTTTGTATGTGCTTATGTAAATGTGTGTTTACACGTATAGCACTTCTGTTTTAGGATAACAGTGCTGGTGCATATGATAAGTGTAAGCAGTCTAGTGGTTTTCTTAGCATATTTATTTTTTCCATCTTTGTAGTTTCTGGTATTTAAAGTATCACACACACACACCCCCCCACACACACACCCTACCACATATACACACAGATACACACAAATGAGTATATTCTCATCCTACACCTGCATTAGTGCCTTTGTCATTTTAGAAGAAAAGGATATTCAGAATCGAAGAGTAAGAATAAAAACTCAGCCTCCTTTCATGCCTATGCAGAGCACAATACAGGGAGCTTTTTGGAGAGGAAGGGACCTTATGTGACCACAGATTGACTGGGAAAGAGGGTGGCCTGAGTGATTTTACATATATAATCAGTTACTTATTTGAAGCATATGGTTCTTTCTGCTGAAAAGTGTTACTCAGACCATACTAGTAAAAGATATCTGCACTTAATTTATATAAATGTGGAATTTTAAAATAGATCTTAATGTCATAAAACTGATTGCATAGCTGTCTTTTAATAATGATATTTATACTAGAGAGTTATTTATAAAAATTCTGACTTAGTTTAATGTAGCATGGGAAACTAACATCTGTCTTAGATATTTTTTTCTCTGTTCCCTTTAACTCTAATTCTAATTTGCATGTGATTAAAAATGGTTGAGCATGTCCAAGTAAGTATAGCTAATGCATGGAAACAGTCTGCATATTTTTCCTCTCTTGCATTTAGGTATATTTTTGTCTAGTCCTCCACTGAACCATCTATGAATGATATCCTTTTCCCTCCTCAAATTGTGCAATTTGCATCCAATTGTGCAATTTGCAATGCAGACTCAAGTTGCAGAATATAAACAACTGAAAGATACACTGAACAGGATTCCAAGCTTTCGAAAACCAGAACAAACAGAACAGCAAAATCTGACCCAGGTGGCACATTCTCCACAGGGTGACCTCACAGCAAGGGGCAAGTCACCTGGAGAGCCTCGGGAGGTAAGAGTTGGGAACTGGTCTGTGGTCGAGTCATTTTCCCTGTCACGCTGTTCCCGGGTGACCTGCTCTAAATAGGGTCAGCCCTTCCTGCAGAACACTGATTCTCAAATTTTAGCACTTATCAAGAGTTCCCCACTAGGGCTGCTAAAACAGAAAGAGCTGTTTTCAGCCCACCGGTTGGGCTTCCCAGCTGGCTCAGCGGTAAAGAATCCACCCGCCAAAGCAGGAGACTCAGGTTCGATCCCTGGGTCGAGAAGATCTCCTGGGAGAGGAAACGGCAACCCACTCCAGTATTCTGGCCTGGAGAATCCCATGGACAGAGGAGCCTGGTGGGCTACAGGCCGTGGGGTCACAGAGGCAGACCTGACTGAGCAACTGAACAACAAGCCGACAGGTTACAGTTCAGCTAGTTTGGGATGAAACCTGAGGATCTGCATTTCAGTTTCAGCTGGTCTGGTGATGTACACTTTGAGAACTGCTGTCTTGTTTTCTTGACAAACTCTAATCTAGTTTTATCTTTCTTCATATGGGTCTATTTGGTTGAAAAGGGCTATCATGTCTGAGTATTTTAAGGTTTTTTTTGGGGGGTGTTGGGGTAGAGTAAGAAGGTTAAATGATTGTGAGGATATTATATGATAATCAGCCCACTCAAGTACTAAAGCTGATAATGTATTTGAACTTGATACTGTACTAGGCCATACAGCATATGTCAAAGTTTGTATTTTAAGACCTTCATGAAACTGCAAGAGAGTAAGTGCTAGTCACAGAATCCACTCTTTGGTATTCTCGTTCTTTATAAAATTAAGTCTTGTTGTTTAAGAATATCTCCCAAGTGGAGCATCCCAAATGATGTCACCCGTATGATTAATTCTTACCGAGTTGTTTTTGTAATCAGATCTTTCCCTTGACAAAGACACTTTAAACAATGAATGTTTGAGAAGACTTTCTCTAACTCATCTTCTTATCATCTTATGGGAATAATTAAGTTGGTATAAGTGAACTTCACTTGAATCTTCAGTCTGAGCAAAGCATTCCTTCACAGACAGGTTCTGTATCCTGGATACTTGTTCTTTGTCTGGGTCTTATGTTGCTCTGAACTTCAGAAAACACAGTCAGCGCCCTGGTGTGGGAACTGGTTCTACTCTCTATCCAAGTTCAACTGGGTTAATCTTTTAATGACTCTGACTTTTTAGTTTTTCTATCTATGAAACAGAGGTAATAATTATTTGCCCTAACCTTTCTCACAGGGATGTTGTGGAGTTAAATGGCAGGTGTTTGAAAGTACTTAGAGTCCTTCAGAGAAATATTTCCTATAAAGCCAGCCAGCGTGCTTCCTAAGTTGCCTCAGTCATGTCTGACCTTTTGCAACCCCACGGTCTGTACCCTGCCAGGCTCCTCTGCCCATGAGATTCTCCGGGTAAGAATACTGGAGTGGGTTGCCAATCCCTTCTCAGGGAGATCTTCCCAACCCAGGGATCGAACCTGTATCTCTTGATTCTCCTCCATTGGCAGGCAGGTTCTTTACCACTATAAAGCCAGTTCAGTTCAGTCGCTCAGTCGTGTCCAACCCTTTGTGATGTGATGGACTGCAGCATGTCAGTCTTCTCTGTCCATCACCAACTCCCAGAGCTTACTCAAACTCTTGTCCATTGAGTTGGTGGTGCCCTCCAACCATCTCATCCTCTGTTGTCCCCTTCTTCTCCCACCTTCAGTCTTTTCCAGCATCAGGGTCTTTTCCAGTGAGTTAGTTCTTCACATCAGGTGGCCAAAATATTGGAGTTTCTGCTTCAGCATCATCCTTCCAATGAATATTAAGGACTGATTTCCTTTAGGATGGACTGGTTGGATCTCCTTGCTGTCCAAGGGACTCTTAAGAGTCTTCTCCAACACCACAACTCAAAAGNTTCTAGAACTCACTTGCTTTTTCGATGATCCAATGGATGTTGGCAGTTTGATCTCTGGTTCTTCTGCCTTTTCTAAAACCAGCTTGAACATCTGGAGGTTCACAGTTCATGTACTGTTGAAGCCTGGCTTGGAGGGTTTTGAGCATCACTTTGCTAGCCTGACTATGGAGCCAGGGCAGTATCAGTTCACACTTGCCAGGTATGTGAGGACTTGGTAAAATGTGTACCTCCAAAAGCTGTCCTCAAGTGTCTGAGAAAATACTTTTTCCCTTGGTTTATTTATTTATACAGTACAGTTTCTCAGTTATGTTTCTGCTAATCTAAGACGAGAGCTTCACATTTCAAGTATGGGACAGTCTGACCAAACAAAGTATTTCTTCTGTTAAAGAAGGTTGGCAGGAGAAAGAGCAGTGACACATTTTCCTATTGATATTGTATTTACTTTCTTTTGCCCCTTTTTTCTAAGTAATGAAGATCATATAGAAACCTCTGACACTTTCAGAGAAAACGGATTTAAGTACACCAATTTTAGAAGAGGAGTTCTCTGTAAAAAAGACATATTTTTTTTTCTTCAGAGTTTTCTGTATTAATAATATAAAATATTCACAGAAATTCTCTGGTGTACAAAGAAGTATTACTTTTAATACATTAAAAATGTTTTATTATACCCAACTTAATGGACACTATTTTAGCTAACATGGATGTCCATTAGTAATGGCATTCTTTTTTATAGTAGGTAACAAAAAACAAACCTAACTCATCCTCAATTTGATCTTATCCTTTTCTTTTCAAATGATTATTGAAGACAAAATTTACATTGAAGAAAATTACATAAGTTTTCAATCACTTGAAGTATGAGGGTTTTCCCTTTTTATTCTGAGAGAACAGGAGTTAGACTGCTTTTGAGGGCAGAGTCTATTGAGATGTGATCATGTACAGGCTTTACTTTTAGGTTACTTACGGTATGCTTCCCGTGATGAAATTTTGCTTATGTTATCTCTATTTTGTAGGTGAGATTACACAGTGAGAAGAGTTAAGTGACTCCATTGCAGCCATACTTTTCAGGCAGGACTCTATATTTCTAGACTCCAGGATTTTGCTTATGTTGTAACCCTGTAGACACGGTAATAAAGAAATTCTGTCACTACTTTCGAACTAGAGGAGTGTCATTTCCAGTGATGTGCTTGACCTAGGTGTCTCGAAATAGTGAAGTGTGGCAGAACCATGAAGCAGCCCCTGGAAGAACAGAGGAAACAAAGCCTTACCCTTCCACCCAGAAGGAGGCAGAATTTCAGGCTCCCGTGGAACTGACCCAGCAAGAAGCGGGACCCAGGGAGCCGGAGGAGCGACAGGTGGAGGAGGAGCACAGGCGGGCCCTGGAGGAGGAGGCCATGGAGCAGGTGGGGCGGCCTGAGCACCTCGAGGAGGAGCACGACCCATCACCCGAGGAGCAGGATCGGGAGTGGACGGAACAGCGTGAACGAAAGGAAGCCGGACTTGCGGCAGGGGAGGTTCATGCTGAGGTATGAGGTTACCCGACCAGTCGGCTGGGGCAGGGGCTGTGGCTTTGTCTCTACATAGCATTGATCCCTGAACCTCGCAGGACCACTTCTGTAAGGATTTTTCTAGTAAACACTAGAAAATCCGTGGTTGGTTGAATCTGCACGTGGGAAACTGAGACAGAAGGGCCCCCACAGGGAGGCTGTGGAGGATCCCTACATACCGAGGACTGACTAAAAGTTATGTGAAGATTCTCACTGTGCTGAGGGGCCATGCCCCTAACCCCTGCATTGTTCAAGGGTCAACTGTATCAAGGAAAAAGCCCATGTGTAACAATCTCTAAAATAAAATGGGGGTGATTTCACTAAATCTTCCATGTACTTGTTTAAATGTTCTGTTGTGACGTTAGTAGCATAGCTCCCTTACCCCAGAAAGATGACTGGGGAAAAGAGAAGGTCCTGTAGGTGTTTATTTGTCAAGAGTCCACAGTAGGGCGGTGTAGGAGGGAGGCTCAGTGGGGGGATATGTGTATACCTATAGCTGATTCATGTTATTGTACAGCAGAAATCAAAACATTGTAAAGCAGTTTTCCACCAATTAAAAATTTTAAAGAAAGGAAGAGAAAAGAGTGCAGAGTAAGGGAGACTTGGGGCACATCCCTTTAACAGACAAGGAAGCTAGATGGTCACCTCATCCTGCACTTTCTCAGCCTGTGCTCAAGGCCTGTGGGCATCTTGATGCCAAGAGTGACTCATTTTCTGTGATCAAGGGTACTTGCCTCCCTGTTCACTTACTGTTAAATCCTATCTTGGCTTTCATACATTCAAATTCAGGGTGGTTAGTAAGTCATCAAAAGCCGACCTTATTACTTAAGGATGTGCCACTGGTTACAGTGTCTGCTCAAGCTGAGCATTCCCCTCTCCATATGAGCATGGCCCTCTCACTCCACACCCCCTCCCTCCACACCCCTCTCACATAAGTAAGACTCATGAAAACAGCCATTGTTATTATAAATGATACTTTAAGAGAACTGAGAGCAGCACTGAAGCAACCAGGTATTTTTCTTACACAGCCTCTAAAGTGATACCTGACAACAGGCTACCTAGCTCCTACATGGATGCTGGTCATCTTTTATTTACAGCTCTGAAGCTCCGTTTGCTCTCAAACTTGTTTCAAGACTTCAAGCTGCTAGAGGCTTGGCTGAGCAGGTGTGAAGGTGCCTGTAGGTTTACTCTTAGACTGTTGCACACTTATGGTGGAGAAGCCTCTTCCAGTCTTGTGTCCATAAGCTTTCCTCCAAGATAATTCCCCGCCAGGTTTAATTTCCTCAACCATGCACCCTCTTTCCTTTGGTGAGAATTGTACATGCTTGTATTAGTTGGGGGATGGAGGACAGAGTGGTAGATTGCTTAATGGAAGCAAAGTTTAAGAATTCCTGGATCAGATTTTCCTTTAGTCTGAAAATCCTCTCTTCTCATCCATTTTTTATTTCTTTGAAGAAAACTGATTCTGCCTCTCCACCCTAACCTGAAATTTTACCTTTTTTGGCTCCGCTTAGCCTAAGATTGGTGTATGCATTGCTAGAGTTAATTAGCTTCCCAAAGTCTTCAGCTCTTCATGGAAAAGCCTTAGCCTCAACTTCAGCTCACACATTGCCCCAATTAGTCTGAGGTTATTAAGTGCCCACTTGTACCAGAGTCTTTTGAGCATACATTCAATTAAAGCTGAAACATTTCTTCTGTTGTGTCCTTTTCCATTTGAGAGGAAGCACATTAAAAATCTGCATTAATGCCAACCACGGGGGAAGGTCAAAAGAAGCCACGCTTCTTCTTGCTAAAAGAAGCCAAGGGTGGTTCAGAGAGAGTAGGGAAATAGCAGTGGAGTCCGGCAGCGGGTGGTGTTGGACTAACATACAAGACAGTTGGCCTGACAGAGAGGTATTAGTAAACCGGCCCTGCCTTCTGCCCGTGTCATGAGAAACGGGTGAAGGGCAGACCCAGGGGACCCGACTGCTCTTGCTCACTGCTCCCCAGGTGCATCCTTCAGCCAAGCCGGTTACCAGACTCCAGTCGCCATACGAGGAGCAGCTGGAACAGCAGAGGCTGGCGGCGCAGCAGGCGGAGGAGGCCCAGCGGCTGAGAGAGGAGCAGGAGGCCCTGCATCAGCAGCGGCTGCAGGGACGCCTGCGGCGGCAGCAGCAACAGCTCCTCGCCGGGGAGACAGCCCGACAGCGGCAGGACGGGCTCCAGGAGGGCCGGCCGCAGCGCCCCGAGCAGCCACGGTAGCCTTCTGACCTTCCTGGGCGGCTCGGCTTCCAGTGTCCACAGGCAGATTAAAGACAGCCCCACATATTCCTTCCCTGTGAACTTGAGGGGCTCCTGTTGCTCATGGGAGCTAAGGCAGAACCGAAAATCAGATTCCAAATATTTAACTTCCAAAATAATCAACATTTTTTTTTTCTGCCTAAAAGTAGCAGTTTAATCTCAAAGTAACTTATCAGGTTTTGTGTTAACTTCATTTTAGTTTTTGAAAAGCATTTAATCTTTTATAAGGTATCTTTTAAAAGTGTACCTGGAATCTTTATTAAACCTAATTGGATAAGTTTAAGAAATACATTTATGGCTTTTAAAAGAATGTTGAAAAATTCATTGATAGTTCTCTTTAAAGATAAATGACTTATGTCAAACTGTGCTACTTAAGTTGTGTCCCAGAGTTGATGACTATTTGTTTCCTTGCAGGCAGCAAGCTCCTTACGATGCTGTGGATAATGATATTGTTCAGGGAGCAGAGGACCAGGGCATCCAGGAAGAGGAAGGAGGTGGTGAGCTTCTTAGATGATGAATGTTTTAATAAAACTGCTTGGTAATATATAATGTCAACTCAGAGACATATGCATACCTGTGTACAGGTTTCTCCTGATCTCTGAAAGAAGAGTGCTCCTTTGAAACCATTTGTAAGCTGAAATGGTATAGATTGAAGAAACAATTACCATAGGAAACAAAATAAATTGAGATAAAGCGCAAAATAACATGGCCAATAGATACACAAAATGAATTGAGACAAAGCACAGATGCTCACCGCACATTCAGAGCCCTGGGGGTGTGATGTTGAGATGCTGAATGTAGGTCCCAGGGAAGGAGGGGGGTGGTGCCATTCTTGCTTCTCTGCTCAGGTGTGTGCTGCCTCCATACCTGCTCTCCCTCTCTACAAATGAAACACTAAATGGCCATTTTCGCTTTCACCTATTTTCATAAAATTGAAAATCCTCTTCCAATTTCTTTCAGTTAGCCAAAGCAGGTACTAATGTAGATCTTTCATAAACGCGAAGTGGCCTAGAACAAACTTTCCGAAAGTGGAGGGTACCTATACGTACAGAGATCTGTGCACCAGATTTGGTTGTCATTGATAGGTTTTCCTTTATCCTCCCGGAAAGTTCACATTGATGGCCGAAATCACCCAAGCTAATCTGTTTGCTCTCTAACATTCTAAAAAGTAGAGAGGAAATAGTGGTTTACTCTTCTTATACGGAAGGCGTGCTTGCATGCTCAGTCGTGTCTGACTCTTTGCAACTCCATGAAGTGTAGCCTGCCAGGCTCCTCTGTCCATGGGATTCTCCAGGCAAGACCACTGGAGTGGGTTGTCATTTCCTACTCCAGGGGATCTTCCCAACACAGGGATCAAACTCGCATCTTCTGTGTCTCCTGCAGTGGCAAGCAAATTGTTTACCTGAGTCATATTGTTTACCACTGCATCACCTGGGAAGCCCCTAAACTTCTTGTATGTTAGTACTTATTGCTAGCATGTTGTCATAGGAATATTAGGCTTTGGGAAACCTCTACATTTTCTTCTTACCTTGGAGACATATAGATTATTGCCTTGAAAGTTTTTCCAATTAGGTCATTAGTAGCTTTCATTTCTGGTACACATCTCCATGTCACTGAACAAATACTAGTTGCTGTGATAACAGAACTAGAGAATAGCCATCTCTCTGGCAACGCTAGCACTTAGCTGTGTATCCTTTCCTAAAGAATCTAATGGAAGGTGATTGCTGAACTCCCTCTGTAGCCTATTCTGGTATTTTATAGCTCTGATAGTCAAGAAATTATTTTCCTTATGTGTCCCCATGCAACATTTAAAGCTTTTCTGTTCCGTTATCAGTAAGACTAGAGAACCATTTGTTCTCCCTTTTATTTAATGGGTCCCTTGGTGCACTTGAAACAGGATGTTAAGTTACCTGTATCTTTATTTTCTGCAGGCTAAATACTCTCCATATATTTAACCTTTCCTCTGATATCTGTGTGTGTGTTCTTGTCTAAATTCTCTATATTGAAATATTTTTTACGAAAAGTAACAAGTAAATGTGTGAGTATAAATATGTGATGTTTGTGGTATCATCATCACTACCACCTCAGAGAACACAGGATGGCTGAATTTGTTTTTGAGCTTCACAAGTGGGGTTACCATTTCTTTTGTTTCCTGAAGTAGCATCCATTTCTTTTTTTGGTACCTTGTTGTTTTCTCTGACATTACCGAAATTTTGTCAATAATTTTAGTGATTTTCAATTGACTGGGCTTAATTTTATGGAGAAAGTTTCTATCATTGTTTTTGGCATAATGGGGGAAAATGCAGCTTCTCTTGTAAACATTTGTTTTAGAGAGTTAGAGTATGTCAGTTATCCACATTGTCTCTGTAGATACAAGGACTGGGAAAAAGATATACCTTCCAGAAAAGCTGAGACATGTACCTTATGTTGAGCTAACCTAGAGGGAGGGGAGCGTGAGTGATGTGGTCTGTAGGAAAGCCCACCGGTGGCTTGGCTTGGCTTTGAAAGGGAAGACTCCTGTCTGGTTCATCGGAGCTGATACGGGTTCCTTTGACTTGCTAGCCTATGAGAGAGACAACCAGCACCAAGACGAGGCGGAAGAAGACCCAGAGAATGGACACGAGCTGCAAGAACAAGCGCCCCACGAGGCTGACCCAGAGTCCGAGGGAGATGTAAGTGGCCTCTCGTCCGGCCGTGCCTCTTGGGAACTCACAAGGCAGGAAGGAATCATAAAGGTTTGCCTGACACTGTGACTCCAGCTCCAGGTGGCTTCCATAATTGTGTGGTAACTGGTGACTGTCAACCATGGGGTGTTTGTGTGATGAGAATGGGTTAAAGGCTGCGCAGGGAAAACATCCAGGGAGTCGCCCTCTGGGCACTTTAGTAAAATTAAAATAGAAGAGCAAAAAAGAGGCGCTGCACTGTGTAGTAATTCTGAAAAATGAAAAAGAAAGCACAACAAAGCAAATGTGGCAGTTAGGGAACCAGAGAAAGGAGGTCAATCACCACGGAGCACGTTGAGCAGTCTGCTCGGGTGTGAATGTGTGTCCTGAGACTGTGTAATGTCTCAGTAGTCCAGTGACTGTCTTAGTAAACACACAGCTAAGAATGTGAGGTTTGAGAGATGAAAAATGTCTCCCAGATACCATAATGCCATAGAAAAATTAGAGTATTAACAGGTAGAGATATGGTAACCAAAACTGTTCTTTTTATTTACCCAAGAAAGGACCAAGACTCCCAGTTCAGTTAGAGGGTCTGGGGCCTTGGCCTTGCCTGTAACTGTGTCCTTGCACTTATGCATGGATGATTTTGACAGCTTACTGTAGCTCTCCTGTCATCTTTTGCCAGCAAATCAGCCACCACATTTATAGAATGCAGTCTGCTGTCCTCTGGGCCATGTTTATGTTGGTCCAGTGGACTGAGAGGAGGAGGATTGATATTCTTCCTTGATGAGCGCTGCCAAAATCTTCCTGAGCTGCTTGAAGCAACCTCGATGGAAACAGCTTTCCCCTGTAACTTGCATGGAGAGGTGGCAGGATATATCTACCCACCAGCTCCTCAATCAGCAGTTCTCAAAGTACGCTCCAGGGAACCTTAGCCTGAAATATTGTCAGGAAAGAACAAGAGCTGTAGATAATAGGAGAATATGAGAAAGCCAGAGGATGTGTAGGAGTAGGAGAGTGTCCATGAGAGAGCAAGAAAGCGAGTATGCAAGAGCCTGAGAGCAATGGACGGCACAGGGGAAGGGTGGGTATTCCAGTTCCTGATGTTTGGGAAATGCTGTCTGTCTCAATGGTTACCTGACTGCATAATCCTTCACTCTCCTTTCGTCAGTTGATTTGCTCTAGATAACACATAGGGAAATGTTGGCCTTTCTACCATGCCTTCCCTTAATTAGAAATTATTAGCCTGCTTGTCTCTCTGTCTCACCTATTTATTTTTTTTTTAAATTAGAAATATTTTTCTCCAGCTTCACTGAGGTTTAATGAATCTTCCTTTTTTTTTTTTTTTAATATCTAACATCTGTGCCTATTAAACCTTTTTTATTACTTGGTTAGAGTTAGAGCTAATCTGTATATTTTTATAAACTTTTGCAAAGGACATTCAGTACTTTTTGCCCTGAAGAAAATGCGTTACATATCCCCTTTGTTTCTACACAGTTTATTGATAACACACAAAAGGAAATCCATATGACAAGATTGTGAAGTAACTGGAGTTTAGTGTGAAGGTTATGATTTGTCACTCTCTATATCCCCAAGAAAAGTGTCATTTTGTTCTTGAATGAAGTGTATAGCCAGGGAGGTGGAGATAATATATCAGCTGAGACTGCAGTGAATTCTTGAACGTGTTCAAGGCTCTGAAGTGAATTGAAGTAGAATTTTGTGGTCTGGAGACTAAATCTCACTCAGATTTCCCTGTCTCTGGGAAGCATTTGCTGCTTCAGTGAAGTGTCCTGTTGATGACCCCAGTGTGATCAGGGAAGCTCCTCCAAGCATCACCATTTCTGCCCAGCTTACATTCTAAAAATCTGAATCTTTATGAGGGTGTGTATTATTTTGAAGGGTGCTTTGCGAACCTCAGTGGGACATCCAGATAATTCTAACGTTGATAATGTGAAGGGCATTCGTTGAACACAGTAACCGAGAACTATTTGAGAGGTAGGATGGGTTGGGGGAGGTATTTTTCAAAATATTTATATTGCTAGAAGTTGGGTTAAGCCCAGTCCCTCTTATTTTGTCTCTTAACAGTGCAGCATCTCTCAGCTTCACATTAGTGTTCCTTATAAAGAAATGTGATCCACACTAGCATGTGATGGCCTGCCCTTGAATTAGCCTCCTCTTGTCTCCTCACAGGCCCTCTTCTTGGGTCCCTGCTGGTGTGGTCTTCCTCTCTCCTCAATTGCTTTTCACTCGCTTACATCAGCTGGTTTGCAAAGAATAACTATAAAAATCAACGTACTGGTGAAAGCAGTTACCATTTGCCTATCTAAATCTCTCATTTTAATTATTTCTCCTACTTGGTCCTTTGGCTTTCATCAACTGTTTTTCTTGTCATCTAGTTATGCTCATATGACTTATGGCATTGGAGCTTTGAGAACTGTTTTGGAATCACTTGCAGGAAAGAAGTGCTCTTTGAACTTCTTTCTGATGCATCCGTCTCTGACAAAGCAGAGGCTTTATCTTTTGACAGCAGGATGGGTACCTGTGAGTCTTGGCAAGGATAAACCTGAGCAGTCTGGTAAAGGACAATTTAATTTTCTATCAGCCTGTGGCCTTTCAAATGAAATTAAACTTGATCCTGGATTTTGAAGTGGTGCTTGCTTTTCATTAAAATTTTACAGAGGGCAGCTGTAGGGGATATAAACCCAGCAGATGACCCTAATAATCAAGGCGAGGATGAGTTTGAAGAAGCCGGGCAAGTGAGGGAAGAAAACTTGCCAGATGAAAATGAAGAGCAAAAACACAGTCACCAAAAGCAACAGAATGCAGAAATGGAGGAACATTTGGTGGTAAGTGGGTGCCATGATGGAGGGTGGTTTTAACCTGGGGATTTTATTATTGTTTTTAATTAATTTATTTTAATTGGAGGCTAATTATTTTACAATATTGTGGTGGTTTTTGCCAAACATCAACACGAACCAGCCATGGGTGTACGTGTGTCCCCCCAACCCTGAGCCCCCCCGCCCATGTCCCTCCCACCCCATCGCTCCGGGTTGTCCCAGAGCCCTGGCTTTGAGTGCCCTGCTTCGTGCATCAAACTTGCACTGATCGTCTATTTTACATATGGTAATATACATGTTTCCATGCTGTTTCCTCAAATCATCCCACCCTTGCCTTTTCCCACAGAGTCCAAAAGTCTGTTCTTTACATCTGTGTCTCTTTTGCTGTCTTTACACATAGGGTCATTGTTACCATCTTTCTAAATTCCATACATATGCGTTAATACACTTTATTGGTATTTTTCTTTCTGACTTCACTCTGTATGATAGGCTGCAGTTTCATCCACCTCATTAGAACGGACTCAGATGTGTTCTTTTTAACAGCTGAGTAATATTCCATTGTGCATACGTAGCACAGCTTCCTTATCCATTCGTCTGCCAGTGGACATCTAGGTTGCTTCATGTCCTGGCTATTGCAAACAGTGCTGCAGGGAACACTGGGGCATATGTGTCTCTTTCAGTTCTGGTTTCCTTGGTGTGTATGCCCAGCAGTGGGATTGCTGGGTTGTATTAACCTGGGGATTTCACTGAAGTGAAAGTGTTAGTCTCTCAGTCATGTCTGAACCTTTGCGACCCCATGGACTATAGCCCACCAGGCTTCTCTGTCCATGGGATTCTCCAGGCAAGAATTCTGGAGTGGGTAGCCAATCCCTTCTCCAGGGTACCTTCTCAACCCAGGGATCAAATCTTAGTCTCCTGCATTGTAGGCTGATTCTTTACCATCTGAGCCACCAGGGAAGCCCTGTAATGCCAGGTTTTATGCAAAAGGTTTTAGTCATGACCTGTATGGGCAGGAGGTTTACCTCATATGCAATGCTTGCACTCAGGAGTGGGTCATGGGCATCCTGGGCTTGTTGGGAGTGACCAGGCATCACTTCCTGCCCACTGAGGCATTGAAATGCACTGTTCATGGTGGCCTGCCTGTTCTTTGGCCCAGAGGACTGGAAAATGCATCTCCAGTGTTCAGTAACCTGAACCTCTCCTTTTGTTTCAACAGATGGCAGGAAATCCAGACCAGCAGGAGGACAATGTGGATGAGCAGTACCAGGAGGAAGGGGAAGAGGAGGTAGGAAGGGGGAGGGCAGGAGGCCAGACTGCTTGGGGTCTCTCTCACCTGAAAAAACCTCTCCGAATGGGCTTTCATAGAAAGGTTCAGAGAGCCGTAGGCTGGGTAAGGAAGGATGGTTTCGAGGAGAAATGGACCATAGCTATGGAGACATTTGGTTGGAAGATAACAAAAACAGGGTGATAGAATTCTCTTCCCTGGTTTCCCTAGAAATTTTGAATTAAGAAGACACTTGACCTTCCAGGAATGGCATACTTAGGTTTATGTGATCCTTGTAAAAATATTTTCTCCTGTCTCTTTCCCTCACAAGAAAGAAGAACAAAGCTCTGCCCCTTGAGGGGCTGGACAAACCCCAGAGACTTTGTCTGTAGACATGGCCACTGCTCCTGCCTCATAGCGACACCCCATGGTATACGGCAGAACATGCTTAACACCCTCCAGACATGTAAAACATTTCCACTTTTAAACTCTTCCCTTCTAAGAATTTAGTGTCTTAACTTTAACAAGGAAGAAAAGGGAAAATAGGGAAGGAGCTCACTTGAGTAAAATGCATTTGGGTAGAATTTCTTAGCATTTCATTTTAGTTTGCTTTTTATTGCAAACCTCTAGCATATTACTGTTAATTAGCTTCATGGAGCATCTACTTTGTGTAGTTGCGTGTAGTGTGTAGTGCTGTTGTGTGTAGTGCCACAGTTGTGTAGTTGACTGATTAATGCTCTTGGTACCGTGTGGACCACTGGAGCTCAGAACACAGGAATATGATACGGATGAGGCCCAGGCCCCAGGTTCGGTATCTCTCTAGACCAGAACATGGTCCAGCAAATTAAAGCCCTGGTTCGGAGGTGCCTCTCAACCAGGCCTTTGCAAATGTGTGACTCTGGCCCTACGGGGAGCAGCAGGAGCGGATGGACACGGGGCTGCCTGAACCTACATGAGAGCCTGCTGAGAGGCCGGTGCCGCAGCCTCACGGGCGGGGCTCCCTCCGCTGGGGCTGCCGCCTCGCCTGGCTGCATTTGTCAGCTTTTCAGAGCTGGTGCTGAGGTTTGTGTTTATACCAGGAAAACAGAGAAGAACGTTGTTCTTTGCAGCCATTGGCAACGTACACCTGTAGTTTTACATGCAGTCTACCTGCCTTGATCCTCTTAGTCTCTCTCCTTTTTCTCATCCTGCTGTTCATCCTGATCATACCCCTGAGCTGTGTCATCAGAAGAGTGTTAGAGAACCCAGCAGCCTTTGAATATGAAGACATCTGGCAAGAGAAAGATATTCCTTTGGACCTCTCTTGTAACAGGATGTCTAGACTAATATTACTTGTTTCATTATGTCTGCTGCCAGGGATCTTTGAGGGATTAAAAGAGAAGAGGCTCACCTTGGCTTCTTTTTAAAAATTCAGAAGGGTAAACATAAAATTTTAATCAGTATTTACTGATTAATTTTTTTTTTTAACTTCTGTATTCTATCAGTTAATGTGGGATCCAAGAGGGATCAAAGATAGAAAAGAAAGGCAGAGAGGTGGGAGGGAAGGAGGATGGTGACAGGCAGAGGCCCCCCAGGGCCCAGCCCGGAACTCCCAGCTCTGCACCTCTGTCCCCATTCTCTGACCCTGACAGACTCAGGTCATCACACCTTCTCCTTTAGGGTGGCTACCACGTGAGGTCTCAGCAGAAGCCCAGCTAGCCTCTCTTCTTCCCTGGGTACCTTTCCCCTCTGCCCACTAAGTGTCCCTTGTTCAGGCTGCATTTTATTTTTTTGGCAGTTCTTAGGTGCTTAGTTATTGGATTTTCCCACCTCTTTCCATTGTTCTCAGTTCTTCCTTTGAGGAGGGAGAATTTCTGTATACCGGTCAAGGCCTAGTAATAGAGACGAAGTTCTCAGCAGAGTGCAGCAAAATAAGAAAAACAAAGAGGGATGCTGTCTGTGAGAATACATAGCCTGTCGTCTATGAGTGCCGTGTATGTGATCACTCAAAACTGTAAAATGCAGGGTAATGTGCATCGTTCTTCTCTTCCTTAAGCCTCAGAGTCTTCCAGCTGACCCCTGAGATGTAAGGCCCACTGCCGCCGTTGGCTCCCCTCCCTTCCAGCCCACCGTCAGCCTGCCTTCTGCACATTTGCCTCTAGGGAGGAATCGCATCTTGCCAGGGTTGTACGTGTTTGGAGGCACAGCCCATCAGACTTGTGACTTGAACCTTGAGAGTAGAGAACCTGAAACAAGTGTGATGTTAGGAAATCTGCGCTTTCCTGCCTTTTCTTATCTTAATGCAACAGTGTTTTCCTTCTAGGATCTGAAAATGACTGTTAACAAGCATTGATTGTTTTTGCTTTGGGATCCTTAGAAAGACATTCCTATGATAAGACAGTCCTATGAAAAGCCATCCGCATGTTGCATACTTTACAGATTTTTTTAATCTCCTTATGAGCAAATGAGACAAACTGTGAATTGCCAAAAAGTGCTGTGTGTACTTTAAAATGATTTAAATGTTTAAAAATATGGAGAGCTTAAATGACTACTGTGAAAAACCCAAGTGCTCTGTTTCCCCAATCTGACTAAAACCAGATTGATCTGAACATTCACGTAAGAACAGGTACAGGGTTTCCTGGCTGCCTTTAGTGGTGTGTCGGCCTGGGAATCACCACATCAAGAAGCTGTCCAGATGGCAGACCTCTGCTATTGAACATTAGCTGGCAAGCAGGAGTGTCCATCACAGATTGAAGGTCTTTCCATGATCATGTCCCATCCATCTCTTTGGATTTTAGGCTTCTTGGTTACTTAAGGGCATTCTTCCAGTTCCTGGCTCACCCCCTAAGATCTTTGACGCATCAGAGAAAGGCATGAATACATATAGAGACTGGGTAGCCAGCCAAGACCATTCAGATTCAGGAGATCTGTTTTGTTTTGTTTTGTTTTGTTTGGGCTGTTTATTAAACTTTGCCACATCACATAGGGACTTTTTATGCCTAAATCATTAGATTTTAGTAATGAGTAATTTGAGTTACTTTGTCAACAAAGGTCCGTCTAGTCAAGGCTATGGTTTTTCCAGTGGTCATGTATGGATGTGAGAGTTGGACTATAAAGCAAGCTGAGTGACGAAGAATTGATGCTTTTGAACTGTGGTGTTGGAAAAGACTCTTGAGAGTCTTTTGGACTGCAAGGAGATCCAACCAGTCCATCCCAAAGGAGATCAGTCCTGGGTGTTCATTGGAAGGACTGATGTTGGAGTTGAAACTCCAATACTTTGGCCACCTGATGTGAAGAGCTGACTCATTGGAAAAGACCCTGATGCTGGGAAAGATTGAGGGCAGGAGGAGAAGGGGACGACAGAGGATGAGATGGTTGGTTGGCATCACCGACTCAATGGACATGGGTTTGGGTAGACTCCGGGAGTTGGTGATGGACAGGGAGGCCTGGCGTGCTGCGGTTCATGGGACCTTAAAGAGTTGCACACGACTGAGCGACTGAACTGAACTGAACTGAATGAGTAATAAGGAATGGTGCAGGGAGATATTTAACAAAATGTTTCCATCAGGTTTAGCAGGATAATAAAGAGGGTCAAGTGTAGAAGACATAACTGGCATGTCCACATTATAAAAAAGTAACATTTGGCAGTTATTAGTCTAAGCATATTTTAAAATGACAAACTCCGTATCATTTTGTCCCATTTCAGTAATGCCTTTAAGATGAGTTTGAATTACTCTTGCCCCCAAATGTAAAGAATATATTACTAGAATATTAGAAAAGGTATATTCATAAATTTAAAAAATTACAAAATTTTCATTTGTGTGATACCTAAATTAAAAAGTAATTTAAATCAATGGTTTCCACCTCAGTTTATATTGTCAGTTGATCCACAACCTAACTTTTCTACAGTAGGTTCCAAGAGAGGAAAGAACTCGTGAAACAGTATTTCTCTCTCTAGCCAGACATTCACTGTCACTCAGGTGGCTCTCAGGCTTTGCTGTGGGTGAGGATCCCCTTGGAAAGTATGTAAAACATACAGACCGCTGGATCAGGCCTTACTCTTGGAGTTTCTGTTCCTATCTGTGTGGGACCTAGGAATTGGAGTTTTTCACAAGCTCGCATCTAATGCTGATGTTTCAGGAACACACTGTTTACAGAAATCTGAACCTCTAAGACTTCTTTGCAAAATGATGTACATCTATGTGCCTGCTTACTAAAGACTTTCTCATCAAAGTCTTAAAGCAGTCCTTGACCCCCACCATGCCACACACACACACAGAAAATTAAAAATCACTGATTTTTATCTAACCCTTTCTTTGACAGATAAGAAATTTGAGCTTCAAAGAGGTTACATAAGTTTTCAAAGGTCATACAGTTTGTTATTGTTAAAACCATTCTTAGTCCCTACCCAGGTCTGCTTTTAAAAGTTATCACAATTTAGTATACCAAGCATAGTAACTGGGCTTCCCAGGTAGCTCAGTGGTAAAGAATCTGCCAGCCAGTGCCGGAGACACAAGAGACATGCGTTCGATTCCTGGGTTGGGAAGATCTGTAGAAGGAAATAGCAACCCACTCCAGTATTGTTGCCTGGAAAATTCCATGGACAGTGGAGCCTGATGGGCTCCAGTCGCTGGGGTCACAAAGAGGAGGACATGACTGAGCATGCACACGCATGCACATTACATTAAAGCATAGTAACTAAATAGTTGATACAGGCAAGTTTTTCTTGTTAGAAATTAGTGAATACAGAAGGAATGATGGAATTAGAAAGTCACCATTTTTGTAACCCCTAATTAAAACAGTTGATTTAGGAGCAGTCATCAATGGATGGCATCACCAGATTAATGGAGGTCAGGGGATTTTACCATGGAGGGATCAGGCTGTAGCTGTCTGTGCTCACTGACCAACTTTAGCTTCACTAAAAGAAGAGCAGACAGTATATGCCTCCTGATGTGATAGACATATATGCCTCCAGATATGAAGTCTGCAGCATCATCTCTGAAAAATCTTTACTTTACAAATTGAATCTGAATTCATTCAAGCCTTTAAACTAACTTCCCTTTGTAAGAAATGTGGAGACTAAAGAAATAACTGACACCTCAAAGAAGCAAATAAATCCAAAATCTGGGTCATTTTACTGGACAGTAATTTAATATAGCATTAAGGAAAAAAGAAGGAAGTGGAATGATGTTGGATGTGACTTTTGTTTAGATTAGAGCAAACCAGCTGTAAATAAACATATTTAAGACAATTGGGAAAATGTAAGTAAGGACTAGACATTCGATGATGTCATAGAATTATTTATTAGATGTAATAATGGCATTATGATTATATAAGAAAAGTGCAGTGTATTTGGAGATGGATAAGGCTGAAATTACATGATATCTAGAATATTTAAGAATAATTCATCAGAAAATAAAGTGATAGGTAATGCAGGCATGGCAACATTGAGATAACCTTTGAGCCTTGGTGATGGCTATCAAGGAGTTTATTGAATTATTGTCTTTGTGTGTGCTTGAAATTTTTCATAGTAAAAACAAATGACCTTATTGTTTCTACAGCTTGGAGAGTTGCAGAGCCAAGGATTTAATCTAGCTCTGTCTGACTCCATGGTCTGTGTTAGGGGGTTGGCAGGCTACAGGCCTGGGTATATTTAATAAGTGAAGCCTTACTGGCACAAAAGCCTTGCCTTTTTGTGTACATGTTGTCTAAGGCCACTGCTGCGCTAGAGTTGGGTAATTGCTACAGGGACTTGATGGCCAAGAAAGCCTGGATATTTACTGTCTGGCCCCTTATAGCAAACATTTGCTAACCCTGATTTATTCTTTTCACTGTACCACAGTCTCAAGGCAGTTCCCTCCCAAACTCAACTACAGAATTTACTGTTCACTAGTATATTTTCATTATAAAGGCTATAGAAGACATGTCTTTTCACTGAAATCAACCGGGACACTTTAGCAATTTTCAATTAGTGAGACCTTAGTACAGTCTGAAATAAGTGCTTCACTGTTTTCACTATAATGTCCTGGAGAGTGTTGTTATTCTGTGGCTAAGGGCCGAAGAGATGTCATTGGCCACTGCTACAGCCTACAGGTGAGGCAGAAGTGTCTTCTTTATAGCTCGCTCTACCAGGACACGTAAATACAAAATATACTCTATATTTACTTGGTGCCAGTGTGGTGTAGGGGCTGTGAGTCCAGCCAACAATGGACTGGTTAAACAAGACTCATGAAGGCCAGCATCTTAGGCTGGCATCTTTGAAGGTTCATCTTTGTAGACTCCTAATAGGCCAGGGTCCCTCCAGAGTGAGTCTGGTGGGTTGCAGTTCACTCTGCTGAACCTGGGCTATGGACATCTTGATGCAGCCCTTAATTTGTTGTTCCTTAATTATAACACCAGAATACTTTCCTTTTCTTGCCCATTTCTGAGATATTTAACACATATATACCGCCCCCCCCAAATTAGGTAATTTTGTATTACTCAAGAAGACTTATGCCATTGTCATAGTTAAGTTATAAAATATATTACCCTCTATTTTCATGGATGTGATCATTAAATAGAGATTTAATGATCAAAAATATTTGGATTCTTTCTCTGATTTGCATTTTGAGATAATCAGAATCAATGACATATAATAGTAATAGCATACATGAAAGAGAACTACTTAAAAGAGAAATGTGTTAGAATACAAAGTGATGCAGGGATTTGAGGTAGCTTAATAACTATTCTATGAAGAAACTGAAATGATTATGTTCTGTGTTCTAGATGTTTTAGCCAAAAAAGTTTATTCTTAATTATAGAAATGTATATATACAGGTTTTCCTCTGTTCACGATTACACTCTAGGTAGGTGGTGGTGCCTGATTTCTGTGACTTGTAAATATCTGTAAGAGCAGATATTTTTTTGCATTGATTCATTCATTGATTCATTTATTCAACAATATTTATTAAGCAGTTGCAGCATGCCAAGCATGCATCTAGGTGTTGAAGGCAGTTAGTTGAGTAAGACTGATGGTTCCTGTCTTCGCAAGAACTTAACATTCTGTCAGAACTTTCAGACTTTCATAGTTCTCTCTTTTGGAAAAGAGGAGTTTTTTAACTTTATGAGGTGAATTTCTTTAGGTGTTATACTTGGAGTGTTAACCCTTATTCAAACAAATCAGAAACTCAACACACTAAAGTCCCAGATCCTGAATAACACTAATTTTTTTAGTAAGTTGTTACACATTTATTCATGGCTAATAGACAAGTCAAATCTTTGTCTTTTCACATTTATTTTTAGTTTAATTTTGTCTTTACTGATTTGAATGAACTTTTTGGAAATCAGAATATGTTGCTTCAAGTCTTGAAATGATCCAAGTGTCCACTTGATGTCTCTGGTTTGTTTTAGGTTCAGGAAGATTTGACTGAGGAGAAAAAAAGGGAACTGGAGCATAATGCTGAAGAGACCTATGGTGAAAATGATGAAAATGTATGTGTAGGATATGCATATTTCTATTGCACATGTGTGCCTTTGTGCACATGAGTAGGAGACACCTATGTGTAGTTGGAAAGATCGCAGTGGGTACATCTAAGGTGCCACGGAGTATAACATTAGGAATTAGGAAATTGTGTGACAGTGTGAAGATCAGAAAAGATAGTAGCACTCTTGCCTATTGGAATATTTTCTTCACTTGTTTTCTTTCTGTTCTGTTCTTTTTTTTTCAAAGAGGAAATTATTTATACCACTAACTCTGTGTCCTGTTGCTTAGTTTTCCTTTTTTTTTCTTTTAACTTCAAGGCCGATGAGAAAAATAATGAAGGAGAAGAGCAAGAAGTTCGAGATGACAACCACCCCAAAGGCCGAGAGGAGCAGTATGAGGAGGAGGTGGAGGAGGAGGAGGACGGGGCTGCCGCCGCTGAGAAGTCACGGCGAAGAGCTGAGATGTAGCCCTGCCCGATTTCACAGGCAGAGCTCAGCTGCCGGGTTCTTTCCAAGCTGCTCAAACATAAATCTGCCTACTGAGCTCTAGGGTATTTAACTACAAAAATTAAAAATTTAGACTTTTTTTAACTTTTGTATTAGAAATGCTCATACATTTATATGAATATATTTTGATAACCTAGGTTAGAGCTTCTTTTTATATTCAAGCAAGACCTGAATGAGAAGAAAAATGATAGAGCAGACGTTAGGCTCTGAATCTCATTGTTCGCAGATTATGTGATACTGGAAAAGACCTTGATTTTGTATATGTTTCAACTTGTCCCTTCTCTGTCTTCCAGTTTCCAAGTGTTCTGCTGTCTGCCTTTGATGAAATGCAGAATTTCAAGATAGGGAATACTGAAAAATGCTGTACACATTTTAAGGAGAATGGCCAATTTACTAATTGGTGCCTTTCCAAGGTTCTTATGTATAGTTCTGATAGAATTTTCACCTGTCTGTGTATCTCTGGGATAAGACTCATAGACAGTGACATGTAGTTAGACATTTTGGTTATAAAGACACTGTTTTTCAGGCTTCTTGGATCAGTTAGAGAAATGTTTTATCTTACTTAAGATCACAGGTCTTCCTCTTGAATTAAATTTAAAAGTGAGATAGTATTAAAACTTAACGTGGCAGTATTCTGGACTTAGCTATTTCAGGATTCAAACAAGGTATGACACACCAGCATATTAACCTTTTGAAAGGACTGACACTTTGTTTAATAACGAATTTGGTGTGTATGGGTGGCATTTTCCACATGAGCACCCCTTCTTTTTTTTGGTGGTCACCCAGTGATAGCCTTGTTTTAGTATCTAATTCTTGACAGTAATACATATTTCCCTGTAAACCCTGTGCCTCAACACTTAATCATTGATGACAAGCATGAATATGAAGAAGTACCAAACTGTACAACTGATCAGGATATTGTTCAAAAACTATATGGTGAAGTACATAAGGTGGTATGATTGACTCTCATGACTTTTCTGTTTGCTGGGATTAGGTCTGCATTATACCCATGGATACAAGTTTAATGATGATGAATTATACAAATCCCTTAAAATTAAAAATCAAAATTTCCTATGGGATAGAGACATATTTCAGTCTCAAGTATAAAAATATTTAACTAAATAGAATTAAGTTATATCATTCATTCATATGTGTGTGGTTTTATAATAGTACTTTCAAATTAAAACTGATTTCAATTTGTACTATTATTGTGTGAATGTAATTTTATTTTTAATAACCACACTCATGTATGGTTTTTGCTTATCCCAGATGAGTGGTTATGTTTGTATGCATAGGAATGCTTTGTTCAAATATATTTTGGATTTTCAGTAATCATGAATCAAATCTTACCTTTATGTATAAAAACTCTTTATGTAATGTAAAATGTATAATATTGTACATAATATTCAGAATACAATTATTTTGGTAAATTAGTTTGTATTTTTAATGTCCCAGTTGCAGTATTTAATTATTTGAAACACATTGAAACTTGGTAATAGTCAATAAAATGAAAAGGAGCAAGCAGTAAACCTTCTAAAAGTATGTGATTTTTTTTTAATTAGTTTCTGATCTTACAACGTTTTTCAGTTCTTTTTCATAAAAGGGAAAATTTTAAGAGTTACAGTGTATAGTAATGAATTACAAAGTGCTTTTCCCAGTCTATTCCTATTTTGCTATCTCTTTCTCTGCTTGGATTAGCAGATGAGTTTTTCTCCCCTCTTTTCTAAAGAAAGAGCTAAGAATGTTTATTTTATTTGAGCTAGTCCTGGAGGGGAGAAAAAAGGAATGTCAGTCAGAGTCATGTGCACACACACAAAATAAACAAAAAACTATTATATCTTCCCTGGAAAAGCAAACAAAGCAATCACAAACCATTCCACTCTTATAGCACAAAGTTATAGAGCTGTTATAGCCAATGTTTGGAAGAGAACTGATCAGCCAGAGCTGATCTACATTAATGAGATGAGCAGAAATAAAATGTCACTTGTATTTACCTTGCCAATTAATCTGTGACTTGGTACAACCCATTTGTCAAAGGATTTTGTACCAGTGACATAATAAGAAGCAGGTAGAAAGGCACGTTTTTAAAGGACAAGTACAATGGAGCACAAAAAAAGCTATGTTAATACAAATGGAATAACTGGATATTTAAGAGTGATTGAGTTAGATCTAGGAATAAGAGTAACAGGGAGGTCACAGTGACTCACTGTGATAAAGGAAAATGATGGACAGACTGTTTATACTTAGTGTGAGAAATGGGAGAACAGGGTCCCCCTTATCCCCACAGTGCTCTTTTAAGGCTGCTGGAATTCCCTTCTTACAACTGAAGAATTTTGGTTTCCTGAATCATGTGAGGTTGTTTAAACTGCTTTGAGTTCTTTGTTTTGCTTTTAGTTCTCATTACATCACTTTGGTACATTGTCCTGTGGCAGGGGCATAGCATTAAAAAAAAAAGTCAATTTCTGCTCTTGAATTTTCTTTTGGCTTCCCTTGTACTGTCTACTCCTAGTTTGCTTCTAACCATCCTGGCTACTCTTTCCCAGCCTCTTTTTTTTTTTCTCTCTCTCAGATTTCTCTTCTGTCTGCCCCTAGCATATCAGTGTTCTTCAGCTTTTGTCCTGGACTTTTCTCTACCCAGTCCACTTCTCTCTCATGTCTTGGACATATCTCCAAATTTATCTCCTCAGCCTAGCTTTCTGTGACCCACCCTACCTTATGATTTTCAAGACTGAAGTTGCCTTCTTGCCTTCCTAAAACCTACTTCTCTTCCTAAGCTCTGAATCTCAATTCATAAAGTTTCCCAAAACAGAAGCAAAGTGTGTCCTTGATTCTATCTTCTCTCCCTATGGATGTTACCAATATATCATTTGCTGATTTCTTTTCATCCCGACTGTCCTGGTTCAGGCCCTTGTTATCTTTTATGTGGACCACTGTAATAGTCCCGTAACTTTTCTTCTTGTTTACCCTCTCCTGTCCCTAAAGTCTGTGTCATTGTGATCTTTCCAAAGATAACACACTATGCCATTACAAAATTATTTAATAAATTGCTATTGCACATAGAAAAAGTTCCAAACTCTGTAACATGACTGACATAGTTCTTCATAACCCATCTTAACTGCTTCAGCCTTGTAATTTATACTCTAATTCTGAATCATAATAAGAATGACTCATCTTTGTCAAGCACTAATGTCTTAGTAACCAACCTGGACTCCTGCCCTTGGGTGGGAAGTTGATTTGACAAGAGCTGATAATACTACCCCGCATCTTGGAACAAAGTGCTTGATCCAAAATGGGCACATGATTCATGACCCACCAATTCAGTTCCTTCCCTGGGATTTTTTTGTTGGAGGGCAATTCTCTACGGTGTTTTTATACATCTTGTGAATTTTTACCCTGAACAATCTTTTCAAGGGTATTTGCCTATCAAACAGCCAGCTGCTAGAGACAGTATCTCCCGCTGGGTCAGAGGGCATGTTTGTTCCTGGCTGGAATAAAAAAAGAGAATGTCTCCCCACAGGGTGAAATTTGGGCAGATTTACTAGCAGTCCTATAAGATGGAGAATTTCTTAAGATCAGAGATCCTTAGGAGAAACACAAGCACTGTGGCTGCATCCTCTGACCTGGGATGTTCCACATCAACCTCACGACACTCGGGGACCAAGAAGGAACTGATGTGAACAGGAAGCTCATGTTGCCTCCTGTGCCATGAGAAATATTTGTTTTTAAGCGAGCAGACTAGAGTCTTCTACCAGCATCCATGGAACTGTGGCAGGCTAACTTGTTAGCTCGTAAGGTGAATCTCAGACTCTGCACAATTACTGACATTTTTGCAGGCTGGAGCAAATGGAAAAAAGCATGTCTCTTTCCTTCCAATAGCAAAGCTACCATTTGTAAATATACATCAGCTGATGTCTGTTTTCTCACTTGTGTGGAGAAACTAGTCTACAGAGGGAGAGAAAAAACCTAACCTGCAAAGACAAGCAAAAGGCAGAGGGAGGGAAGAAAAGAGCTGTGACAATTTTTCAGTCCCTGTATCCTGCCATCCCTGATACTGGGCAGGTCCACCCACAGATTGATTAATGAGCCAATAAATTATGCTTTTTCAGTTGAGCTAGTTGGAAATGGATTTCTGTCACTTGCCACCTGAAGATTCCTGACTAATACTTGACTAACACTCAGTTCCTTTAAATCATTGTGCTCTCTTGTAGCATGATAAATTTGCTCCCTGCAAACACTGTTCATTCAGTTTGCTTTCCTCTCCCTTACCTGGCTTATTGCTTAAGTCTCATCTTAATACCAATTCTGAGAAGTGTCTACCTCTCATCCCACCCCTGTCTAGGTTGAATATATTTTCTCTGTCCCCCTATAGCATCCTGTGTTTCATATCACGGTACCTCCCACAGAACATGGAAATAGACTATCAACAAGTCTGTGCATTCCTTGACATAAATGTTCTGTGAAGGTGGAGACCTTATTTCCCTTGTTCACTGTTGCAACCCAAGCACTAAGAACTTCAATATATATTTACTAAATGAAATCTCAAAATCCTTACCTGTAAAATGAGAATATTGATTATTTCAAAATCATACAAGTAAATGGCAGAGCTAGGAAGGCTTTCCAGGTGAATCTGACTCTAATGTTAATTCCACATACAGCCAGGGTTGTATGGATCTTTATCCAATGTCTCATTCTGAGTTTCATATATTAAGAAGGTATGTTTTAAATTTTGCAAAAAACAAATGTAACAGGAGTAAAAAGCAAGAAGTCTCAGTCATAGAGTTTTGAGGAAGAACCAAAAAATTGCAATTACTTGACCTGAGAAAGATACGGTCAAGGGAAGAGGTAACACTGTATGTCTGTCTTCTATGAAGCATCAATTGTAACATGAAGAATAAAGAATGTCTTGAGAAACGAGTGAATGAAGTTGTGAAACCTAGAGAATGAAGTTGTGAAACCTAGAGTCATTTTGAAATCAGAATATATTAAATAATTTCAATCTATAACAGCCATGCCTAAGCCATAAAACAGATGCGATATCCTCTTTGAATTTCCTTGGGTCTTGTCACTAACTATTGTAGGAGGCCCAGCTGGTATGGTAGAGTAGGCTTTCTATCTATCCACTGGTTGCCCTTTTGTCTTCACACCATTTCTTTTGTTCTTCATCCGCAGAAAGGCTTAACCCTGTAACTGCTAGAGTAGGTTCCAAACCAATCATTGGACTTCATCTTCTGTCTCTATACTGATTCTCTACTTCTGCTTTCTATATTGAGGTAAGATAGGAGAAATGTTCTCTTGGCTGCTCTAGTGATGACAGAAATCATTCATTTGGAGCTTCCAGAAGTCACACTCCTTTATGAGATGGAGAAAACCCAGTTGAAGCAGAAGAAATGAAGTCAGAACAGAAAGAGGGACAGGATTGGGGCAGAAGTGTAGGAGAAGAGGGAAGATGAAAAAGGGAGAGAGACAGAGTCACAAACAAAGAGAACGGTGCACAGATTCCCAGGTTCTGACTTTAATTTTATTTTCCAAGTTTTCTCTCCCTTTTGTCCCATTGAAATAGTTTAAGATTCTTTTCTATCAATTATATACTGGAGAATGTTGACTGACTTCACATTATATTTTTTTTTATGTAACTAAAGGAAATACTCCCATTAACTTTTAGTCACATTGCCCTAAATGTAACAGGTTTTTTTTTTTTTTAATTTTAAAAAACCTCTACTGTATTGCTTGTGCCTTCTCATGAATTAGAGTGAACAGGCTCTCACCAAAGGGATGGGAGAATGTGACATTTGGAACCACGCAAATTCAAGTTGAAAGCTGCTTCTTTCCCTTGCTTAGCTGTGGGATTTGGAGCAAACTGCCAGCTTCAGTTCACATATGGGATGATGGTAATGACTATTGTATCTGTTAAGACATGCACTGGACTTCCAGCAACTGAAATAAGTGACTTTAGCCATGTAGAAGTTTATGTCTTGAAAACAGGGAGCTCGGGGCTTGAATAGTGGTTCCTTAGTATTTTTAATAAATAATGGCCATGCTTTTTGCCAGTCTCTTGATCATTATGTTTTTCTCTTGGATCTGTCTTAAAGTCCAGAGAATTCATCACAAAAACTTTGGGATTATTATAATGAAGTTAAGAATACTTATATAATCTCATCTTTAGTCTCTATCAAGGACTGGCAAATTTTATCTGTAAAGGGCCAAATAGTAAATCTTTTGACCCTGTGGGCCATAGAACCTCTTTTGAAACTACTTAACTCTGCCACTGTGCTGTGAAAACAGCCGGAGCAATGTGTAAAGGAATGAACATGGCTGTGTTCCAATAAAACTTTATTTACATAAACAGACAGCAAGGCAGATTCAGCCCACAGACAATAGCTATCTCGTTTAAATGACCCAAATGTTTGCTGTAAAAATAATTATTTCAACAGAAAATAGAGCATTTTAAGATCTTCAGGTATCAAGGCTTTCCAGTTTTTTCCTACAATCCTTTCTTCTATTTGGAGTTGGCAAGCACTCAACATTACCCTAGCT